CTGATGATCTATAATCCGGAAAAATCGATAATCCGTAATTGCTGAAGTCCCGACGAGTCCGGATTAACGACTTTTGACTATACCATGCGCAAGATTTTCGCTTTTATGGAAAAAATAAAGAATCAAAGCAAATATACTTAGGATATTAGACCAAAACTGAAAAAAATTCCCCTCCCTCCGGAAATAAAATATTGAAACTTCGACCATGAATTTATTGAATTACCGAAATATTCAATTTGACTTATCTTCTAAGTCCTAGTTCCGACAACAATTCTGTCAAAAATTCCGAATTACTGAAGCTGAAGTAGAAGGTTTAGTATATATTCACTGTATGTTAATAAAGTAATAAGAGTGTAACAAAAAATAGATTATAGAATTTACGCCGATGCAACTATTTCTTTGAATGCACAACATGTAATGGAAGAGAAGGCTTGTAGAGATCTGTTTTGACATGCCTCTAAAAGTAGATGTCATACTCCTTTTGTCTCTTCAATGTCAAAAAAACTTTCCTTTGAGAGGCCTTTAGTTTTGGGGAAAGGAAAAAAAATCACAAGAAGAAAAATTTGAAGAACATGCAGGACAATTGAGTACACACACTTCTTTTCGGAGCACAAGGGTTCTCCGATTGGTTATTGAATAATGAAAAGATGATTTGTCATGTAATACAAAACATTTGGAATACGTTTTCTGACTGAAAACGTAAGATTAAAAGTCATCTGCTTAATTCACAGCCGTTTACAAGTCAACTACTCGGGCAATTGCAGAATCGTTTTGATCCTAAGCTTGTAAGACAAACATAATATCACTGGATTTAAACACTTCTTTAATCTTCCGAGAACGTTCCTTCTTTAGCTCATATTCCAAGAATATTAAGTGAATACAATTATTGCAAAAGAAATTGAATATTTATTTGCACTACGGCTTGATAGTTTACTAACAAGTTAACAAAACTTAAATTCTGCTTTTTGTGTCTAAGAATACAACAATATTTTAAATATTTACAAATAAAATTTTAAATTGGAGATTTAATTGGAGCCTCACCAGTTGCCTAGCATTTGAAGATTGTTAAATACTAATTGTTTGTTGCGAAGTCTAACCCAGGCTGCATGGTTGGTTTTCGTAGTTTTCTAGGTTCTCTTTACAAAGGTTCTCTATGAAATCATCTTAATCAAATAGCTCCCATGTTCAAATAACCAACTAACCTAGTTTAAGCGTGATTTCCAAGGGAAGTTACTAGCAAAACCCGAATACTCATTAAAAATCATGTAGCTTGCTAATCGGGAGTAACATGAAAGATACGGCGCCAATAATTGAATTGCTGTTACGGTACGCTATTTCTAAACTTAGATGGTCATTCCTTAATTAAATAGTCCACCAGCGGCCGAGCGGTAAAGACGCTGATCATTGGTAGTTTGGTCCGAGGTTCGAATCTCGCGAACGGGCTGGCCGCATCGGCGTTTTCCCCATGTATAACGTGTATACGAGCCAGTTTACCTTAGAAAGTCCTCCAGGAAGGCATCCCTCCCTTTAGGCAGATAGCCCTCGTGTGCTTTGCCATAATTAAATAATCCAATCCAATCCTTAATTAAATATAATTGATTTGTAACTTCTACTGGAACTGACGGTAAGAACTGAAGTGCAAATAAATAATATCGTGTGCAATCTTGATTAATATAAAATTTAAAATATTTGCATTCAGACAGAAAGTTTTTTGAAATATTTGCAATTACTTTATAAGAAGGATTTAATAATAACCGTAATAATTACTTATTATATTACTGATGATTAGGATTCAGTTCTTGACAATTACATTCTAAATTAGAATTTTAAGGATATAATGAAAATACGCTACGCACAAAAATACATTTTATGATAAAAATGAGTTGGTTTTTTATGTTTTAAAATTTCTTAAATTCATTTAATAAACATCGTATCCTCGTTGTTAATTGAATCCTGAATGTTGGGTGGCGTTTATAGAATTATTCTTACTTGTCCACAGAATCTGCTGACTTATCCAGCCATTAAGTAGCTGCAGATCATTTCTACATAACCATTGAACTTCCATTAATTCAGTCTCTAGAGGGCTGTATGTTTATATCATACTTTTATAAAAATGATTATTCTAAATATTATGTTTCTATAAAAATATACTGTGCTTTAAAAATGTGGATGATAGTATCAGCCGCTCTTTCAGCCACTTCAAAAGCAACAGTTTGTTTAGAAATAAACTATGCAGTTAATGTCATAAAATTCAAATGAAAATTCTCAGTTTTAGACAATTCGACTTAAACGAAGTAAAGCAGCAGACGATAAAACGCCAAAGGTAAAAATTTACTCTTACTTTTTTTTTAAAAAGGAAGATAGAGAGAAATTTTAAAAAAATAGTTAAAAATTTGAATAATATCATCTGTAATTTAAAAAAAATAGCTTTTTATATAGTATTAATAAATATTTATTACGCTTCATTGAGGGAAAAGATGTCATATAATTAATTCTCCGTAAAATCTTACTTGAAATTTAAGGTTAAAAATAGCTGTGGCAATTCACTGTAACAAAAATCCATAGACCACATTTGGCGTTATTATTGCTCAAAAAAAAAAAAAAAGATGCCAAATTTCAAAAAACTCGAAAGTATGTAAATTAAAAGTGTATATCTATAGAAAATTTTGAATAAAAAAGTCTGGGAAATTTTTTGCAGATATGCGAATTAAAAAGGTATGCAAATACATCTACTTTTAAGATGATGGTATAAACATTTTATAGGTTATAATTCAAAATTTTTTCGAAAAATTTATAAAAATTATTTAAAAATAGAAATTTAAAAATAAAACACAAAAAAATGGATGCAAATTTTATTTGGAATGAACCTAAATTTCGAAATGTAAGAGAAAAAATCAAAAAGTTTAATAAAAAAGAGATATTAATAAATATTTGCCAAATTCAATTAACATTGAGGAGCTAAAATTTTGAGAGCTAATATTTTAAATACTACTCGTATGATTTTTACAAAACTTGGTATTCTGGCATAATTTGAGACGTAGAATCAAAATATGGAAAAAAATTGGTATGTTATTTCAGAAAAAGTCCGATTTTGTGTCAAAATACCTATGTTAGAATAGTGCTATATATAAATCTAATATATATCCTAAGTCGCGCTTTCGAGACATGAAAAACGCAATTTGAATTTTGTCAATCGGCCCAGTAGAATGAGAGATATAGCACTGTCCCATTTTTTTTTTAGCAGTGTACATGGAACTTGATTTTCAACTACATGTTGCTCTTCACTGTGTTGCTAAATAAAGAAGATGAATAGGAAAAGAAGGCAAACTTTTGCAGACACAATAAACCAGCCTTGCTCAGCTCGGGCAACATTTGAATCAAAGCCAATATGTGGTGAAGCAAGTTTAGAAGGTGACAGCGAAATTCATTCACAGACAGTCAATCCTACTTTAAATGATAATGAAGCACAAAGCATATAGTATCTGCTATTTAAGAACAAATTTTTGCTGTTGATTTCTTGAAGTTTTTGTACTTCGGTATGCTTCGCATACAATTTTTTGGTTTTACAGAAACTTTTATTGTTTCCTAATTATTATTTTCATACTTAAATATTTCACAAATGATTACCATTATTTTAATATATCTAATGTGGTAGTATATTAAATTTTGCTTTAATTTTAATTGTGATATTTGGGAAAAGCGTTCTGGAAGGCTGATAGCAGGATGTTGTGCTGAATTCTGAATTCTCTGGAAATTCGGAACACACTGCGAAGGGTGTCGGTGTAGCTGCCATCGTCTAATGGCAGCTGCTAATGGTCGGGGCTAGAGCCTGGGCCAGTGTTGTTGTTCTGGGCAGCTTGTCACTGTGCAGAAACTTGCTTCTGTGGAGGTTGAAGTCCGGGATTTTTACGTCTGGAAACAACAGTATTAAAAGCGGTACCCATGCTGCTAAAAGGGGCAGGTACAAATTCTGATTTTTCGGTATCTTTTCGAAATTGGGGAGGTTTTTGCTTGTTCTTATTAGCTGGATTTCGAGGGCAGTGGTTGCATGACTACCAAGGCAGTTCGACGGGTGTTATCTGCTTCAGGATCTTTGGTACACTGGTACACATAATGCAGACCAGCGTACCATCAACACTTAATCAGCAGTGTCCAAAGAGCAGAGCTGTGGAAATAACCTTGGCATCATCAGTACTGACTGGGACCCTTTTTTCCCTGGTGCTTCTCGATAGTAATGTCGATACCAAACATCAGTGTTTCTTTGAAGATGTCATATACGTTGAGTGATGGATTTAGTTGGCATAAGAACAGAGGCATTGGATACCGTGATTTATGTCTGCGTAACTGAGTTACACTAATGACACTGTAACCAATTAAAGTAAGTTCATTTTTAATATTTTCAAGTTCGTTTTTACAGTGTTTGGTAGGCCTCTAATCATGGCCTTTACAGGCCGATCTTTTCGAGGTTAAAAGATTTGTACTCAGCCCCCTGGTTTGTTAAAATTTGGGAGAATGAACAAGACTTGAATCCTCAGCTATTTTCCCTTCATTCTGCATTGAACTGAAGGTGGAGAAGCTTGTACAATTGAAGTCAGAAATTCAAAATCTCCACAAAAAAAATATGGCACCCTTCTGGTCTGATTCTGAGAAGGGGGTACCGCTTTCGCCCTGTCTCCTGGATTTTGATTTCATTCTCCTTCTCTTTGAGAGAAGGGTTAGTGAGGTCATTCCCCTCTGGGGGGGGGGTTCTCGCTGCACTCGCTTCAAAATGGAGAGAGGCCTTGAGAAACAACCGGTTCTAACTGGCTTAGTTGTTGTTTGCTAGCTCCTCGTGTACCAAGATGGTGAGCAGCTGAATAAATCCTTCATTGTCTGCTTTATGCAGTTTTTTAGATTTGGGAGAATCAATGGTTTCTCTGTGTTTTAGACTTATTTTCTGGATTTTTTTTTGCTAGCATTGATGATTGCATTTTCTGCTTGTAATTTAGCAAGAATTAAGATTTTTTTTTTTAAGTAGTTGAATTTTGAGAATTAATTTCTTTTTTATCCCAAAGAGAGGTTTGATTTTGAGAATTTTGAATATTTGGATTTGAATTAGCTTCAATATCACTTTGGATTTATCTCTTTCCTCATGGGTATCACCTTTAAGTGTTTGCAGTATTTTTGAGATATATTCTTCCTCCGTTGGAGGTATGCTAAACAGAGGCAAATTTAGGTGCTTGGTAAGGGAGGTTAATGAAGATAATGGTATCTAATGCAAACTCAAAATAGCATGTAATGGAATTGTTTCCATTAGATGCTATTTTGTCTTCATCAAAAGGAGGAGGGTTCCCATGATTGTCCATTTTGTCCCAATCATCATCCACATTTTAAACCTTTGCATTCCAGCGTAGTGACTCATATAGTATACCAACAACTCCACCACTATATTATTATTAGTAACAAGTGCACATATATAACCTAATATTTATTGGAAAGTGTACTGTCAGTTTGGGAAGTGAAAGAAAAGAATACATTTTCATACCTCTTATGATATTTATTGTACAGTATAATTTTTGTTGTTACTTATGAGCTCTTGCAGCGAACTCAAGTAGTGCTTGGCTGACACCCGCTCAGTTTTGAATTTTTTCTCCTTCAAAAAATTTTGCAAAGAGTGAAACAAGTGATAATCGGATGTCACTAGATTTGGAAAATATGGTGGATGCAACAGAATTTCCCAGCCTAGTTCTGTGATTTTCACATAAGTCACCAAAGTAGAATGTTGTCTGGTATTGTCATGAAGCAGTATGACGTGCTTCTGATTAAGCATCACCAGTCTCTTTTCTTTGTCTGTTTTGCCTAAATCACCCGTCTGATGACAATATCCCTCCGAATTGATCTTTTCTTTAGGTTTCAAAAGTTTGTAATATGCTAGTCTTTGGACATCCCACCATATACACAGCATTCAGGCTCAAACTTGGTTTAGAGGTGGAGGGGACAGGTTATTTGGGCTTACAATATGCTGTTTCCTAGCAATGTTTTTATAGGTAACAATAACAGGTTTTATAGCTAGTAACAATGTTTCTATAGGTAATCCACTTTTCACCCCCAGTTATCATCTGGTAGAAAAAGGTTTTGTTTTGAGCAAGCTGAGATGTGCACATGACAATTCGATCAAGCAAATATTTCTCACTTAACACAGGCACCCATCTGGAATACTTATAGACAAATCCTAGTTTCCGAATATAGTTCAAGATAGTTTGTTGAGCGAAATTAAGCCTTTTTCACAATTTCCACAGGTGCCAAAAATGGATCTTGCTCTAACATGACCTTATCATCGTACATCAAAGATGGCTGCATACAGTGCAGCTCATTAAAACTGAAATTACCTGTTTCAAATTTTCTGAACCATCTATCTGAAACTGCATCATCACCAAAAATGACCATTCGTGTTTCAAATGAATACCTGCATGTGTGCTAAATCTTAACATAACTGGACAGAATTTTCTGATAGACCTTACATAAAAACATATAGTTGTTGCAATAAAACAAAATATTTATTCCTTACCTACATTATATAAAACAAGTTTAAATGTATAAATCTTCAACAAAGTGAAAATTTTATGTTTTGTGATTTGTCATAGCATGATATTTTTGGAAACTATCATCCATGCAGGCTTTCCCAGGGCAACTATCACAAAATTCACTAGTTTCAGATCTTTTTCCTATCTGCTAGAGCATGCAACAAAAGTGTTAAAGTAAGCAAAAGTAGCAGCAAATGTGAATTCAACAGTTTTTACTAAAGATTTTCAAGATAAGAACTGTAGAAGTTTACATTATGATATTCCAGCAAAAATTTTCAAGAACTGTGAATTTTTATGATATTTGGAGAGAGCATTTTAAGAACTTTGAAAAAACATATTTTTAGAAATTGGACTGTACATTTAGTTTATATATTATATAATATTTTTGCAAAAACTTGTGAGGTGCTTATTCAAATAATCAGATAAATATTTCATCTTGAACAGGTGTAGCCTAATCTTCAAGTTATCTACAGAATCTATATTACATATATATTACAAATCAGTTAAAAATTCATCACCACAAATTTCATTTCAAAATAAGTTATACCACAATAAGTTATTCACAAGTTATATCGAAATTCTTTGATAATATCCATACTTTTATCCAGTTTGGCTACATTCTTCCATATACCATTCAAAAGTTCCTCCTAGTGGGAAAAACATTTCAGTTTAAATAGCTGATGAATTTAAATTATTCTAATTTTGTTTACTCAAAAACAACAACCAAAAAAGCATTCAAATTTAATAAAATACAATAAGCATTTATATGGAGTACACATGTATACAGTAATAAGTAATTATCTTAAAAGCATCTAAGTTCTTTCTTGTAAATGAGTAGAAAAGAGAATAAATTGATTGGGAAAACTTATGTTACCTGATGAATAAGGAATTTACATAAAGCCACTTATTGATAATAATAATCAGTTAATAAAAAACACATATAAGTCAATGAAAACAAGACACTCCTTTTTATGGTTTTCTTTTCTCAAATATATTAAACAATTGCATAAAATAAAAAAATATGTAAATCTTTAAAAATGCAGCAAAGTAAAGAAAACTTAAAATTAACTATACTTTTTTTCATCAAAATAGCAGAGATAAAACTCGTCAAACTTGAAAAACCAAATATAACCAAATAACTTAAAAACCAAATACAGGGGGTTTATAAAGTCTCTATACATTTTTGCTTAAACAAGCTTTATTTTGAAATATAAGTTATTTACATGAAAATGCAACATAATAGAATACTAAATTAGTACAATTCAGTGCGTGGCCCTGCTGAGTGTCTAGGCACATTTGCCACCATTCCACTACACTCCAAAACACCTTATGCAAAGTTATTAGTGTAATTTCAGCTGCTGCAGCCATAATTGTTCAGTGCTGCCAATCTTCACTTGGTACACTTTGGACTTGCCAAAACCCCATACGAAAAAGTCTAGGAAAGTTAAGTCTGGGGATTGTGGATCGTTGAAAGCCATGCCACAATCAATCCACCTATCAGGAAACGTTTCACTAAGATAATAATGGCAAAATGGGGAGGTGCCTCATCCTGTTGGTAGAAAACAGTGTCAATAATGCCATCTAATACTAGCAGTGGCTCAAGACATTGTCGCAACTTATTGAGATAAATTTCTCCAGTGACGGTCCTTTCTGCAAACATGAAAGAGCTTAGTTATTCTAATCCATACATTAACTTTAGGTGTGTCTTTCTGAGATTTGTATAATATGTTTGGTTGTTCATCAGCCCTCATTTGGCAATTATGCCTATTAACATGGCCGCTGAGATGAAATGTGGTTTCATTGCTAAAGAGAACATTCTCCATTAAGTTCTCATTATCCACAGCTTCCAACAAACCGTAACACATGGTTTGCCAAGCTGCACAGTTCTCGGCTTCAAGCTTATGCACAGTTTGAATGTAGTAAGCATCCTTGTTTAAGTGACAACATAGAGTTTTCCAAACAGTAGTACGCGGAATACTGAGCTCTCAGCTGAGTGTTCATGTAGATGCCTGGGGGCTAGGCTTAATCGCTTCTTGTATGCTTTGCTGGTCTTCATCTTTAACACTACCAGTTCACTCAAATTTGTTTACCAAGGTTTTAATAGCTACTCGGGTGGGGGCTTGTTTTCTGAATTTGCGGGCGAAGTCCTCTTGCACCTGTTGATACATTAATCCACGTGTACGGGCACAAACAATGGCTATCCTTTCCTCTGTCAACAGCATTCTTTCAGATCGCCTCCAAAGAAATTGGAATTAGAACGTATTTCTCAAAAATGTATACAAACTTTATAAACACCCCATATATATTAGCCAAATATATAATTTTTTTTGGAAGTGATATGAACTACTGACATCAGGAGAAAATAATAATACAACTAGCCAAAAGTAAGTTATTTAGTAGTGTATTCATATTCAGCTAACTATGACAAGATTAGAAAACAAAAGTCCAAATGAATAAAAAATTAAAAGTTCAAATACAAAAAATATTTCAGTAATTATTATTATAAAAACATTAAATTTCATCTTCCCATATATTTTGCCTCCAAAATTAATAAAAAAAAGTTTAAAAATCATGCTCCAATCTTAAGAATTGCAAAGTGAAATTGAAGTGGAATATAAGCCCGGTTTGTGACACTTTATTATGCAGTTGTAAATCATCATACTGTTATCATAATATAATTAAAATTTTTTGTACTGAAATTTTTGAATGAATACACGTTATTATGAGATAATGACTGATTGGATATTGTTGCTCATATAAAGAATCAATAAACATTTAATGGTAATAGAAGGTACTCAAACATTCCATTTCTTGAAAATAGCAACTTTTACTGTTTATCTAACTGATTCAGAAGAGAGTATTCTCACACAAAAGATAAAATCCTTCAATATGTAGGGTACTGGAGTATTAACATGACCAAAAAGGGTTCTTATGGCATCCAACGTCTTATGTGTGTCAGAAAGTTAAAAGATATAAACTTAAGTTCTACAAATAAATATTTTGTCACATATAATTGCTATGTGTGTGTTTTTCTTAATGCATGCTTTAATGATTTCTTTGAAATCATCAAATCTTTCAAATTTAGTTAATGATTTACATTAATTTCAAGAACTATTTTAAAAGCTATCTTAAACTAATTTCTCATTGATTTTGTTACATCCCTTGTTATATGTAAAGTAATACAACCGTTTAAAATTGAAAAAGAAAACTGCTTTATGAAGAACAGAGACATACATCTAATACATTCATGAACAGCACTTTTTAAAGTTACTGTCTATTCAAGTTTGGTAATTTTTTTTCTTCTTGATTTTTAAAACAGGCATATTAATCAACAGCAGCACCTTTGGATTAACCTACTGAATATTTTTATTGAGTTATAAAATTTGGTGCTATTTTCTATACATTATTTTCTTTCAGGATCTGGATATTATTCAGTGATATGAACAACCATGAACTGCATGATCTGGATATCATTCAGTGATATGAACATTAACAAACCAAACAACAAAAGGAATAGCTTTAAAAAACTAAGTAAATCCTATGGAAATAACACACAATGACTTTAAACATTTTAACATTCAGAGAATTAAATGTTATCTCACAGTGCACCTCAGTGTATATTGTAAAAAGCAATATGCAGTATTATGGTATTTTGTCTGATAAAGTTACTGAAACAAACTATGTTTAAAAAAATGCACAAACAACAATCACTTTTGAAGAATGTGAAACATATACATACAATCCTCAGAGCTTCAGACGTATAAGTAGGGCATTTTTTAATAGAATCTATGTCATCTTCTACATCTTTTGTAATTTCTACAGCTAACTGGAAGAAGTGTGTAACATCTCTATAAAAAGAGTAATAGTAAAATTTAAAAAAACCTTGAAAACATAAAGACAGAATAAAATTCAACAAGCTAGAAATGGGAGAAAAAAAAAAAAAAAAAGGCAAACCTCCTTGAATAATTGAAAATTCAAATTAACTGAACTTCAAAATCATAAACACCATCTATTACGATGAACACAGAAAATATATAAATCAAATATATTCAAAACAGTTCGTTCAATTGCGGGCTGCCTCTACCCGAGGCTGTGTGCATTATGAATACAGACAAAAAATTCTTAATAAGCCATTCTTTATTTTCATCAAACCAGTCTTATGCTTCCGAGATCAGCTTTTGTTCTGTCTACAAGCAAAACATTCAGCACGTAGGCTGACGTCACGAACAGCAGCACCTCGCGCCAGTTATCACGTTGAGTGTCACGTCAGCCATCTGTGGCTGACACTAGACTTTCCGTTTAGGCCGCGTCGGCCATCTGTGGCCGACACTAGACTTTCCGTTTAGGCCGCGTCGACCGCCACTGGCTGACAGCGTGTATCATGATATATAATTATAAAATTTACACTGTTTTATGGAATCACAGAAAATTTATTTAAAATTTTCTTAATTTTGATTCATTACAGGACTAATGGATTTCATTGAAACACGGTAGACATAAAAACGGTTCTCCATTACTGCTATTACAAAATGTGACAACTCTCTTAGTCTTTTTCTGGCCATTACTCCTGACCCTACAATACCAGTGCTTTTAAACGGCGCGCGTGGCCTGAACGGGATTGCCTAAGAAATACGTGTGGCGCTCAACGTGTTATTACTTCAGTTCATTTCACAACATCCTTCCCCTTTGAGACTCAGGTTGAATCTCAAGCTCATAATAAACATTATTTAAAAGATCCAAGTCTTTTCGGAGCTTTTACAAGTTGTCCAGAGGAGGAATATTGTTGCATTACCATTTTATCAGGTGCACTTCCCCTTTTTAATGTACATCCAGCACTAGAATTAGATTCCTCTACACCCAGTTTCTTATCAGGAATTACGTTTCTCCTGCATCTCCAGAGGAAAGATGCGTTGTATTGGTCGTATAACTGTTCCATGCTGAGTCTTAAGTTTAACCGTGCGAATCTTTCAATCACGTCCAGGGATCAATTCTGTAATTCAGGCTAAGGGCCAAAATAAACATTTTTTTGTTATCATCCCCCATCAGTACTATTTCTCCAACTACAGGTTCCCGAGATCGTTTTTCATTATACTTTTAAACCAGTTGACTAAGGTATTCTTTTCTAAAGCGTTGTCGCAGATCATTTAACAATTTAGTTCTATACTTTAATCTCTTATTAAGACTTGATGAATTTAATTTATCAAGATCTTTAACATTGGAATTTCTCTTCTCGATAAGAAACATGGCGGGTGTCAGACGGACAAATTCCTGCAGATCTTCAGAAACATACGTTAAGGGTCTACAATTAATTATAGTTTCACAATCACAAATAATAGTATAAAGTTCTTCATATGATAACACTGATTTATCTAAAGTACGTTTCAGCAATTCTTTTACTGTACTAACCAACCTCTCCCACCAAGCTGCAGTAGGTGGAATAAATTTCCAGAGTATTTTTTCAGTTCTCGTTTCCTTTAACACTTTAGCCCAATTTAGTTTAGTTTTGATAAATCATTAGATGCACCCCAAAAATTTGTCCCGTTATCACTATAGATTATTCTAGGGCGTTCGCGCCTAGCAACAAATCGTCAAAGCACCAGAAAAAGCATCAGTAGAAAAAGAATTTAGAAGTTCAAAGTGAATGGCACAGTATACAGCGCACGTGAACAGCACAATCCACACCTTTCCTCCATTTTTTTAAAACAGAGGTACAGCCAAATCAATCCCTATGATTGCAAATGGCGTACAATCCGTAACTCGGTCTGGTGGCAAAGATATCTGTTTGTTTGACATAGCCTTAGTTTTGAATCTTTTACAAATGATACAGTTAAAGAGGACATTTTTAATGGTTTCTAGCTCTGACTATCCAAAATCTTTCTCGTAATATATATTGCATAATCTGAAGACCAGCATGACAGTTCTTATTATGTACACTTCTGATTAATAACTTAGTGAAATCACATTTTTCTGGTAACAGTATTGGATACAGAAAAGATTCATGGTCATCTCTATTTAGTATTTCTCATTTTAACTCTCAGAATACCATCATGTGCGTTTCATTAAAATTATGAGCGTTTCAATAAAATTATAAGATTTCATATCAGTCAGATAATAATTTTGAACCAAACGAATTAAAATTTTCTCAGAATTTTCAATTTCATACTGTGAAAGTTCAATGTTTCTATTCTTTTCAGAACCATCTTTACAATTATATACAAATCCAAATATCCATGCAAATAGAACTTAACTTACCTTTTAAAGGACAAAATTTACTAATATGACTTGCTCTTTTTCAGAGAAGAGAAACAAGCACCTTTTTTCAATAACAATTGTTTTTTTTTCAGCTAAAGTCATTTTTTTTTGCGGAGTAACATTTTTCACTAGAATGTTTATGTTTCACAAAAATTACAGTTCGGAATACTCTTACCTGAATTCTCAAGACTTACTAGAGCTGACGCTGTTACTGATTCATTTTGCTTTACCTGTTCATGGTTAAAATCTTTCTTCCAATGATTCTTTTGGGAGGCGAAACCAGTTCTTGCGAGTAGAACCATCTCTTCGCCCTTAGCTTCCTGTTTTAAGAAATTCATTAAATGTTGCAAGGATCGAGCCCCTTTAGTTTCAATGGAGTCGTGATTTCGTCTTCTCTCTCACACCATCGGTACTTCTTCTAAGCAACTTTCCACTAAGGGGGTAAAAAAAATCATCATATTTTTCTTGGGTTCTCCTCAAACTTTCCAAAGCTTGCAATTTTCCTTCTAGTTAATCATAAAGGGAGGGTAGATCAGTTTTTGCTCTTCCAGTTATAGCGTTTTTCATCACTAAACTTAACAAGTCTCTCACATAGATTTTCACAAGTAAATCTTCGCGTCCAAAGCGCTCTCTTAGTTGTTCGATGGCTTTGGGATAATTAGCTGCCGTTGTCGGAAAGCTAAGAACTAGGCGTTACGCCTTCGATTTGGTTCCATGGCCTGCAACAAATACTGCATTTTATCTTCATCAGCGATAATTTCTCGTGGATTTTCTGGAACTGACTTCAAAAAGTCAGGTAATCTTTAGCTTCACCACTGAACGTTTTAAGCTCAATTTTAGGCAATTTAAATTTCCTTGATTCTGAGTTACTTGGAAGAGAGGAGGCTTGTATTTTCGCATCTATTTCAACACACCGTTCTAGAAACTTAGCTCGGTGATCCTCTGCTTCTTGAAAGTTTCTCCATCTTCAGTCTGCAAAATCTGCTTCGAGATAGCACTCTGACACACGTCAAGTCTCTGGAATTTATCACAAAGTTGACACTTTAAAATAGAAAGTATTTTTAAATCTCTTACTGCTTTAGTTAATGCACTTTCAGTTTTCCTTGAGGTTTGGGTAAACACAATTCTAAGTCCTTTCCTTTGTGCCTTTAAAGCGATCAAATCCATCTTCAAAGTATATTCAAAATCGAAGTTCAAAATCAAAATTTCAATCCGAAAATACTAATCCATAGCACCCGGTCCCACTGAGGGTACCACTATGTTACAAAGGACACAGAAAATATATAAATCAAAATATATTCAAAACGGTTCATTCAATTGTGGGCTACCTCTACCCGAGGCTGGGTGCATTATGAATACAGACAAAAAATTCGTAATAAGACATTCTTTATTTTCATCAAACCAGTCTTGCGCTTCCGAGATCAGCTTTCATTCTGCAAAACATTCGAAACATTCAGCACACAGGCTGATGTCACGAACAGCAGCGCCTCGTGCCAGTTATTACTTCATTTCATTTCACAACACCATCTATAAAATTATGCATTCAAATACTCAATATTAAAATTATTCTGAAATACATAAAAATAACTAATTTATCTGATTTTTTTTAATAATTTGAATAAAACTCGTAACTTGTTATGATTATAAAATCCTACTTCTATTTCTGAATAATGATATGACATTATCTAAAGCATGATAAGAACTTTACATGAAGTATGTTTTACCACTAGCTTGAGCATTTAATTTACATGTTTATTGAGGTTATTTTTTTTTTAATGGTACTTAAGTATTATATGAAAGAATCTTTGAGGCTGTTCTTCAGATACAGTTTAGACTCAAACTGTTGCTAATAGCCAGAACAAGATCACAGGAGTAAAACAACAGCTTCAATATGTAACTGCCCCTCACAGCAACTTTGTATTTGCCATATGTGGCAAAGCAGAAGGCTTTATGAAAAGCAAATTTATTGCCAGAAAGTAAAAGTTTTTTGCTTTACTAACCTCACAGCATATGACTCATATAACACTCATATGACCTTTAGGGAACATTTCAGGATGTCAAGATATGAGAAAAAATATTAAGCACTTGAAGTACTTTTCTGTGTGTGTTTGACAAAGGAAATGTTTGCCATGTAATACTAAGATAGAATCTTGCTCAGAGCTGCATGTGGGATAATTACATACTTGCCTTGAATGATTATGTGTTCTAATCAGATTGAGCAAATCTAAATGATAAATTTCTTGAAAACAAAGGAATTTAATGAATAAACAAGCAGCCAAATCTAATTCTGATTTGAATCCCTCGGAGAATTATGAAACATCCTTAGAAGAACTGTTGCATGATGAAGTTTTCATCCTAGATACTTAAACGCTTTGAAGGTCATTTTGATTGAGGAACGAAACTCATTCTCCAAACTGCAATTAATCTTTTTTTTTAACTGAAAGCATAAAATCGTATGATAAGGCAAACAAGTTAGGGGAAATCACTTCCTTTATTATTGCCCAAATTCTGCATTTATTTCTATAAAACGTTTTTCTGAAATTCCATTGTCAAAAAGCTTTTTAATAGTTTTTGATTTAAAAATTTTTTTTCATAT